GTCTATGCTATTTGCATATTATATGAAGAAGTATTATACAACAAACTCATAGCAGTCAATTAACATAAAAGCTAATTACATATCTCATCAGCTTACAAGAATTTCTGAATTCATCCTTCTATTGTAGCCTAGAGCGAAGGAGCTTTGAATTTTCACTTCTAAATATTGACTTTTAACTAATATCAGCAGTGATTTCAATTTTTATGGATGAAAAGTTAGTGATTAAACTAGGTGCAATATTTGCTATAATGCAATTAAAATTTCTACATCAACTAAACCTCTAGAAAGAAAATCTTTGTAACACTGTGAAATTAACGATCAGTCACTAAACAGGTTAAGTACTCGTTTCAGATCTGAAGAACACTCCAAAATAACGAGGAAGTTGAGTTAAATTTACTGGAGATTGTCAAACTGTAATGGCAGGGATAGATATACCACGAGGACAGTTTCCATTTCCAATTGTGCACTGTGACATAATTGTATTCCTGCCTGATTGTGATAGCTATCAAGCAAGAAATTTACTACAAGATTAACAGAGACACAGTAATGAACAAACACGGGGCGCATCTTGTAATTGACTGTTATTAAAGTGTTGTCATAGTGGTCTGTAACAAACTCCCTAGCTCCGGTTTTCTAGAGAAACTAAAGCCAGAACTTTCAACTACTTTTTTCCATTTTAAAATTGGGATGGGGCATTCCCCCCACCCCCATTGCATCGCTCACATAACAAGCACATGGTCAGGAAAAGCCTAAACGGGGAAAAAAATAGACACAGCTTATACAAAACATGATTTAGAGTTGTAGGTGGGTTTCAAAATTGGGAAAAGTTAGGTTTTACTTTGATTGGGGTACTCCAAGACAGCAATGAAATGATCGTGAATCATTTTTACATTTATAACTTGTACCAAATGAGCTATGTGTAAAAGCAATGGCAGATAAGAAAACTGTGCTGGTGAATGGGGTTTCTCCTGATACAAGGATGGTGGCTCTTTTCATTCATATTTTAATGAGGTCAGTATCTCTGAGACAGTCCTCCGAGGGTGGAGGCAAAGCTCCCTCAGATTTACAATAGGAGTTGCTTTACTGACGAGCACTATTCAAAACCTCCACAGTCCGGGAAGAAAGACTCAGTTTTACTCTGCTTGTCCCAGTACTTACTGCACTCATAATCGAAACACATACGGCGGGGGGGAGGCTCAATTATTCTATGAACAGTCTTTAAATTTACTGAAGATCGTTCAGCTGAGTAGAATCATTTTAAACTCTAATCGTGTACATTTTAATAAAAGTATAAAGAGCTGCAACGCATAAGCGTCTTTTTCTCAAATATTTTCTCTAGAAATCCGATGCTTTGGGATTTTAAGATTTTGTAAATTTCCTGTAAAATGAATTTTACTAGTCTCACGTTGGGTGTTTTCCCTTTCCTGTTTTTAGAGAACATTGTAACGTGGTGCCTTCTGAGCCATCTGCCGGCAAATATTTTCTACTTTTAAAAAACGTTTACTCCAAAAGTCCAGCTAATTACATCAAAAAGCTAGCAAGCCTTCAGAGACTTATAAAATTATAGAAATTCACACGTTGATCTCTTGTTGTGATATATTTGTGTTAAAATAGCCACCACAGTGCTTTATTCAAACATACAAAATTACACCTTCGAAATAGGGAAACAATCCGCTGTTAGGTGAAAAGTTTTAATGTGGGGAACTGTTTTCAAAAAGTGCAACCCAGGAAATAAATAAAAAGTTCTCAAAAATAAGTTGTGGAAGGCCTTTCACACGTGACTGTCATGATTTTGCTCAAAACTTGTATGCTCAGCAATTTTTGCACACAATTCAGAATGTTAAGACAACTTAAAGAGATAGTTCCTAGAGTGGCCTCTACTCAACATGAACTTCCTGGTGCATTGGGGTGGTGTTTGGTGCTCTGTCCCGAGAGCTGAGTTTCTAAAAGCACTGTTCCAGCCATCAGCCTCTTGCCCTCCTGCCATGTCGCTCTGTCCCCCCCCCCCCCCCCCG